ACAGGTATGAAACTCACTGAAGAAGGAAAGGGTGTGACCTGGAAGTCTGTAGACAACAGCTACCAGGACTTTGATTGGGTGGTAGATACGAATAGCATGGACTTCAAAAGGAGGGGAGGTTACTGAGTGATGGAGGTAGGGAGAGAACTTGGAAATGGCGTTTGGGGAGCAAGAAGTAATCCAACTCCCTCACCTCAATCAGTGAGCTTCGGATGTAGATAGTACTGCAGTGGGTACTCAGGGAATCTGTGTCATCGGAGGAGAGCCAGGTTTCAGTAAGAGCCAGAAGATGGAAGGAGTCAGCGATGAAAAGATTTAGGATGATGGGAAGTTTGTTGCCTATGGAACAGGCATTCCAGAGGGCACAGTGGAAGGACTGGGTCGTGTTTGGTTGGAGGTGTTGGGGGTTGGAGGTTGGAGTGGAAGGTTGAGAGAGATGAGAATGAGGAAAGGCGTGGTGAGGAAAGGGAAGAAGGTTTGAATGATGGCCCGCAGGAACTCAGACTCACTGGGACATGTTCATCGTTGAGTGGAAGGCTCCACTCATCTTCACTAAGCAGGCTGGAGAATAAGCCGGAGACAGTATAGCATGAGATGAAAAGCACAGGGTCAGGTGGTCAGATTGAGGGCTTGCTTCTCTATTCCTCCTCCCTCCTGGGAGGCTGGAGAGTGGGCAGGTAGTGACACCGCAGCAGCAGACAGAAGCTAAACTTGAGGAGCAGAAGCAGTCCCACTCCTCAGCGACTTTTCTTCTTTCCCCCAAGGGACAGGCGTATCAGGAAACAGAAGGCCTGAGGTCAAAGGGCAGGCTGCTCCTCTTTGCATTAGCTGTTGTGCACATCTCAGCTGGGAGATCAGGTTGGCAGCAAGAAGTGGGAACTGCCCTGTGCTGGGACAGACAGAAGTCAACCTGGCCAGGCTCCCTGCAGCCTTCCCCCAGGGGACCCTTGCAGCAGGATGGAAGATACAGTTAGGATGGTCTAACTCCTCCTCTTCACTCTCCTCACTATAACACACCAGGCGGCCTCTGCTTGAAGGCCTCTCCTAGAGTGGAACTCACCGCCTCTCAAGGTACCTCACCTACTTTGAGATAGCTTTGGCATCTAGCCTAAGCTGGTCTCTTTGTAACTTCCCTTCACCCACTCTGTTCCTTGTTTTGCCCTCTAGGGCCAAGCAGAAAAAGACTAGTCCCTTTCTCACAGGATGGCCCTTCAGATCCTTGAAGACAGCTCTCCTATACCCCTGAGTCTTCCCTTCTCCGGGCTTAACATGCCCAGATGATCTCGTCCAAATCTCCTTCATGTATAGACAGCCCTCATTACCAGCTCATGGTGCCTCCCTCCGGGTACAAAGATAGTGGCCTCCCTATGGCTTTTGGTATGTACAGAACAGCTTCTGGCCACAGAACTCCAGCGGCCAACAGAGGGGCAAAGGAACAGGTCAACCCTGTTTCCAGTGAGTGGGACAAGCAATCTGGAACTCTCCTGCTTTTTCTTCTCCTTTGCCTTGAGCAAAGTGCCATGATCCCTCCAGGCAGGGAGCCAGGGCTGAAAGGCACTTGGCTACTGGGGTGGGAATGGAGGCCACCGATGGGGGCTCCACAGTCTCAGCATGTTGCTATACACATAAGTGGCAGCTTGGTGCCAGTGGGGTTGATGAATGGCATTTAATTATTTTCAAAGGGGAATCAGTGTGCTAATTACAGCTGCCAGCCTGCACTAATGAAGCGCCGGTGCCAACTGGCAGAAGCTCTTGGGGGAACTCCATTTGCCTTGTTTTCCTCCTGCCCCACCTTTTTCTCAGAGATCCTAATAATGCACTGACATGGGAACCTGCAGATGGGCAGGTGGGTCAGGAACTTCCCTGGCAGCTAAGGTGAGCAAGAAGGGACTTTCCAGGCACCAAAGGCAACTCAAGAAGGATGCTCAGAGAGAGGAACTAGACCACATGTATTTGCATAATCCTCCCCATCTTCCTTTTCAGCTATTTTACTGAGGACATTTAGACACAGTAAACAGAGAGCTGGCCTTGTTGTTGGAAAGACTTGGGTACAAATCCTGCATCCCACACTTCCTAGGAGTGTGACCCCAAGCCAGGCACTTCACCTATATGGGCCTCAGTTTTCTCATCTGCAAAGTAAGAAGTTCGCCAGGCATGATCAGGGATACAGAGACATAAGCAAGAAAGGCCCTACCCTCAAAGAAATTAGAGTCTACAGCATAATCTTCCTCATATGGGGCAGGTAGGTAGCACAGTGGATAGATTAATCTTCCTCAAAACTAGAGAAAGAGCATCAAAATGATTATTAATAGAATTCCCCAATTTAGAGCAGGAACGAACCTCAAATGTTTTTGAGGCAATCAGCGTTAAGTGACTTGCCCAGGGTCATACAGATAGTAAGTGTCTGAGAGGGGATTTGAACTCCAGTCTTCCTGACTCCAGAGCTGGTGCTTTATCTACTGAGCCACCCAGCTGCTCCCCCCCTTTTTTTTTTAAATAAAGATAACCAGGCTTAGGAAGGTCAAGGGACTTGCCCCCATTCATTCACACAGGGTAGGAAGAGGCAGAGACAGGTTCTCTGAGCCTAATCCAGTTCTCCAGTTCCCCATGGGGGAAACAGTCCCTGGGTAAATGTGGTCATCCGACTGGCTCAAGCATTCAAGAGCAAACACATTTCTTTCCATTGGCCAGATTGGAATGGAAGGGGCCTCGATCTCAGGGGCTCAGTCCTGTGCTTCCCTGGGAAACAGTCTTCACCCACGCAGCTTAGGGTGGCAAAGGAAAACTCAGAGAGAGTTTGTTCCTTAATCTCAAAATGGAGGCAAAAGGAAGAAAGACCTTGAAGGAAAAAAACCACCACAAAGGCAGGATGGCTGCGGTGCCGGCAACAGGCCTGCTGTGCTTGAGACAAGGGGCAACAGTGAAACAGCGCTGGCAAGGAGCAGGAGCAGAAACACAAAATGGTCTTTATTGACTCTACTTGGGGAACACAACAGACAGATGACTCGAAAGACTTTTGGCTCACGGGCCTGGACTTTAAATTGTGTTGGTTTCTGTCAACAATTTGAAAATTCTAGCAAATACAGTGGGAGTGGTCCCTCATTCCACAATGGAGGAAATAACATCCATACACCAAGGATATCATTCCTGCTGCAAGGGTGAAGGCTAACCTATCTATACACCATGAACAAATCTTTAATATACACAGAATGACACATGTATAATTTTATATAATATAGTATAGCAATATATTACATATAATTATATACACGTATAGATTGAGGGTAAAGTCCTCCAACTAGCTCATACCCATCAGCAAACAGGACTTGGTGAATCGTTTCCTTAGGAACACTTCTGTCCTTAATCTAATGGTTTATGTATTTAACTGATGGCTTTTTTTTTTACATCAGTGCTTTCTTTGTGTGTATTTTAACAGACCCTTCACCTCAATAATTAAAAAGTACATGTTAGCACAATTCCAGGATGAACGCATACGATTTTTGTTCGATGTGTAAATAATGCTAAGGACAGCAGCCATCAGTTAAATGTACCATTGTGTTGAACGTAAGTGTTAGCAGAGGCACAACTTATTACTTTTCGGATTGCGAGTGGGTGCTGTTCAGTCCATGGAGTTCTCAAAGATTTCATTTAGAAAACTTATCTTTCATTACTAAGAGGGGCAGAAGGAAAAAAAAAAGACTGATGTGAAGGGACTGGGCTTAGGATGACCTGAGGCCTCTCCACAGTCTAAGAGTCACTAAAAACACCGTTTTAAATTGAGCAATTTTTAACAAACACAGTTTCCAAAGTTACACGACAAAAAGCGTATAAATTATCGCATTTCCTAGAGGCTATCAGCAGAGGACAGAGGTGATGTACAAGGCCTCAGGCTCCTTCCTCCCCTGCTGGTGGCTCTAACCACCTCCCGACCTGGCTTGACATCCACATGGAGTCAGATTTGCTTATGTCACTACTATTTTTAAAAAAATGTTTTCCACAGGCTGACAAGAGCCAAGGAAGTTGTCGTCTGAAGGGACTTTGGACAGTGAAACACATTTAGAGAAAGGGGAGAGGGCTGGCTGGAGTTCGCAGGTAATAGAGTCGCCCTACAACGTTGGATTTAATAATGGAAATATTACAAGACTAATGACTCACATCCACACAACACTTTTCTCCTGAATGGAGAACAACTGGTCTGCCAGTCTAACAACTTCGGGGGTCCACCAGAAGCGGACACATTTCCTGACCCCCAGAGAATGAGTTTCTCCCTTCTCTGTCTCCCGTCACCTCCCCAGGACAAAATCTTAACCCATGAGGCAAGGTGGCTTCCCCCAACGCCTCCTGCCCTAGCCTTTCATCACTGTGGGGAAATTCTCAGGGTAGAAATGTCTTTAGATGCAGACTGGCAACTAACCTTGGACAACCATCAATGAGAGAAAGGTTCAAATGATTTGCCCATCATCACAAGGTTAGGATGTATCCAAGGTGGGGCTTCCTGACTCCAGGGCTGACCTCCCATGCATAAGACTTGAGGGGCTAGTGGGAGCTGGTGTGGGGATGCTGCCTCATAAGCTGCCAACACAGCACAGAGGCTCACTTTAGTTTCAAGAGCTGCAGCTTTTGTAGTTCTGAGTGGCCCGCCAGCTGTCACCACACAGACCTCCTTGCCCCTAAAATACTCCTGCAGCCACCAGCTGTGGGGAAGGGGAGGAGGGGAGGTGTATTCCAGTTTGAAGACATTAGATGAAAAGTGCAGGATCCCACGTGCAAACCTTTGCAAACAGACAAAAAAAACACCCAACCCTTTTTAATGAACTACACACAAGTTTAAAAATTCAAGTCAATTCCAGGAATAGTCTAACAGTTGTCAGGCAGTCATTTTCACTCAAAATGGGGAAAGAAAGGTCAGTGTCTGAATTAAGAAGGTAAAGACCTTGGGTGTCTCTCTGTCTCTCACACACACACACACACACACACACACACACACAAACACACACACAGACACACACATCATGCACACTTGTGGACACACACGCACACACTCGTGGACACACACACACACACACACACACACAAAGGCATGTTCTTTGCATTTGACAAGGGTCCCCAAGGAGGAATTGTCTGGGTCCAACAGAGAGGTTCCAGTCACAGCACCCTTCTTGACTGGATTTGAAATGCTACCCACATACACTCCATCCTGTCCCACTTTTGGGGATAACGATTCCTTTACATATGAAACACACAAACCAAGATGCTCTGAATTCAAAGCATTCCTAAGATGCCATCATTCATTTGGAATCTTAGGAATTAAGAGGTTTCTCATCTTTCACTTTCCCAACATGGAAGGAGGTAAGTTAACTCTGTCTTCCTCCTCCTTTGCGTTCCCCATAATCCTCTGCCTCAAAAGCAACAAGAAAGACACTCCAAGGAAAATGTTCCTGTTGGTACTGTCAGACGAGTGACCAAGGTCCAGTCAACCACTCCCTGCTAGAATAATGCCACACATATTGAAGAATAAATACCCCTTGCAGCACAAGAGAATTCACTGTTGAAGGGACCTGCCTTAGGGATCATTAGAAGAGGCTGCCTGGACCACAGGTTTCGAATCCAGAGACTCAGGACAGGGGTGCTACTGAACCGGGTCTTCAAGATGTCAGACAATATCTGGTCCAAAGAGAGAGGACGAGGTTCACAGAGGGATGTGGAGGCAGTATCACCGAAGGGAAACGAACATCCTGACATTTGGATGTGACCTTGAAGACAGAATTAAACCCGGCTTGCTTCTGAAACTTCCCCAAACAGTGAAATGAAGTGTTCCTTAGATGGAAGGACAAACTTTCTGATTTTCTGGGGTAATCTCTGGCCACAGAGAAATTCTTGCCTGGGGGTTCTCTTTCTTCTGGGGTTACCTGCCTTACCAAGGCAAGCAGCTCAGCTGAGAGATGTACAGCTGAGCTCCCCATGCTCCTGAACGTCTGCCACCCCTTCCTCTATTTCCTCGGGGCTGTCTACGATGTTGGGCTCGCTGGAGCACTGCCGGTGGGGAGGGAAGCTGGGTGGGAGGAGCAGGCATTTCTCGCTGCCGTCGGACTCTTCCCCCATGCCAGAGTGCATCATGGTGGCCATGGCAAGCAGCTGGATGTCTGAGTGGGCATTGGCCACGGTATGGCGGCGGATGCTGCCACACTTTTCTAGGTATGCCTCCCCCTCTTGTTCCGTCAGGGGGGTCAAGGCCATTTCGTGGAGAGGTCGGGGGGTCACTGCTGTCTGCGAGTAGTTCAGGCCCGTCACCTTGGGGCGGGCTCGAGAATGCCGGCGTGCTGGAGGAGAAAAAGAAGAGGCGTCACTGCAGGAGGCAGGGATCCCAGCCTTACTGGCTCCTTTGGTAGAATGTAAGCTTCCTGAGGGCAGGGCTGTACTCTCTGTGTCTCTTTATCGTCAGGGTCTGGTATAATGCCTGGCACACAGCAGGTGCTTAATAATAAATAATAATAAAATAATAAATAATAAAAAATAATAATGAATGCTTGGTAAATGAATACTGAATTAAAGAACCTCCTATGTGAGAGGATGTGGAATTCAGGAATGAATCTGAGTATCCAGTGACCATGGTTTCTCTTCCAACTCTATGATACAGTTACTGTCTGTCATCTCTCTTCTGGCAACATGGCATAGTGGAAAGAGTGATAATGATGACAGTGGTAATAATAGCTAACATTTACATAACACCCGCTACATGCCAGGTGCTTTATAAGTATTATCTCATTTGATCCTTACAACAACCCTGGGAGGGAGGTACTATTATTCCCATTTTATATATGAGGAAACTGAGGCAAACAGGTTAAGTGACTAGCCCAGAGTCACACAGCTAGTTAGAATCTGAGGCTAGATCTGAACTCAAGTCTTGACTTTCAGGCCCACCGATCTACCCACCGTGCCACCTACCTGCCCAGGAAAAAGAGAGTACCAGCTTTGGAACTGAGATCTGAGTTCAAATCTTGTCTCAGCCTATTCTGTTACTATCTTTGTGACCTCGGGCAAGCCACTTTCCCTCTTTAAGGCCTCAGTTTCTTCATCTATAAAATGAGAAGGCTGAACAAGGTGATCTCAATGCAGGAGACCGTCTGGCTCTAAATCTTGTAGTTACTGGTTGCCCTCATGTGCTCACCCATCTGCCTTCATACATTTAGACTCTGCTGTCAAAGGAGGCACTGTGGTAGAAGCACATGTCCTTGAAACGAATCAGGGGACCTGGGTTCAAATCCTGCAACCAACGCATACTTACTCCCGACCCCACAAGTCTTTTTAACCTTTAATCCCTTTCCCACATGACAAGCTTTCAGGTATTTCACACAGAACACTCCAATTTTGGTCAACGGCTCCTCACGGCATGGGCCCGCCATCATCCTGGCTGCCATCCCAGCAATGAATGTTCTTCCTATCACGTGGCACCTAGAACCAAGCATGATGTTCCACACCGCAGCAGAGTACAAGACATTTTCCCTAGTGCACAGAGCTCTGGATTTGGGAGTTAGGAGGACCTGGGTTTGAATCCTGCCTCTGACACCTACTGGCTGTGTATGTCTGGGCCTTAGGAGCATCATCCGTAAAATGAAGCGAGTGGATATGAAGGCTTGAAGTCTACAATCCTACGACATCCTGCCTGCCACACAGGCAGTCTAAGCTTCCATCACTTGGTGGGCCAGCCAGCCTATCACATGCCTGACTCATGCTGAGTTTTCAATTTCAAAAAACAAAAAACACCCCAGATCTTCCTCAGGCAAACTGCTGTCTGACCACATCTGGGCATCTTGTACTTGAAGTTGTTTTCTTCTAAACCTAAATTTGCATCTAGCATCACTAAATTTCACCTTGAGCTCAGCCCAGCGTCTTAGCCTGTCAAGAGCTTTGTGCATCCCATCTCTGGCATGGAAGGCGTTAGCAGGCCGAGCCTGAGCAGCCTTCTTGTTCCACCCTCCTTCTCTCTCAGCCTCCGGAAAGAACACAGGCTACAGTGAATGTAGCCCAAGTTTTCATCTCTCCCCTGGATCAGAGACCCTCCTGACTCTTTCAATCAACGTTGGCTACCTCTGATCCATTTACAGACACTTAACATGGGATGGGGGGCTACATGCCCCTGCTTAGAAAGGGGATGATCTGTTCTGGTTCCCATGACTGGGTGTGAGAGAATCAGGACACACCTGAAGCCATGGAATCACAGACTGAAGGCTGCGAAGGGCCCTTAGAGATCACAGCCATTCCCCCTCTTTCCACTCCCACGTTAAAGAGGAAAAAACTGAAAGCTGGGGAAATGTAGTTACTCATCTAAGTCAACACTGGTAGTGTGCGGCACAGCCTGGATTTGAACCCAGGCCCTCTGATTCTAAAATCATTCTCTTTGAACCACATTCACACTGTCCCTCCTTGAAAAGAATCCTTAATTTGCTTCAAAGCTCTTTCCAAATCATCTTCTGCAACAGGGCCTTTCTTCATGCCCTTCTCTCTACCCCTGCTCATTACCCTGATTTATATGTTCATTTTCTACATACTTATATGTATATATGTTGTCTCCCTTGACAGAATATAATCTTAAGGGCGAGGATTTTTTTTTTTTGTCTTTGAATCTTGTACGGGGGATAGAACACTGGACTTTGAATCAGAAAGGCCTAAGTTCAAATCCATCCTCAGCCACTTATTAGCTGTATGACCCTAAGCAAGTCACTTAACTTCTGTTTGCTTCAGTTTCCTCATCTGTAGAATGGGGATAATAATAGCACCCACCTCCTAGGGTTGTTGTGAGGCTCAAGTGAGATAAGAATTATACAGTGCCTAGCACAGTGCCTGGCACACAGCAGGTGCTATACAAGTGGCAGCTACTGATTAACCTATCTGGACCTGCTTCTGGACTCAGTGATCACTAAAGTCCCTTCCAGTTCTAAACCTATGACCCAAGATCTTAATAGTCACTAAATAAATGACTGATTGATTGGTCTGGCAGGCTCAAACTCTGGGCTTCAGTTAGCTTTCATGGAGGAAAGGTGCTATATCAATGTCATTAAGTACTGTTACTATTATTATCACCATAATAGGATTGTAGATTTAGAGATGGAAAGGGGCTTAGGGACCATCTAGTCCAAAGACCTCACTTTAAAGCTGAAGTAACTAAGTCTGAGGAAGGTTAAGAGACTTGTCCAAGGTCACACAGTCATTGCCATCATCATCTTGGTCTCCCATATGTTCTTTGGGTCTACACCATCTTTTAATTTTCCTTTTATTTTTCTTCTATTTCCTCCCCCTTATTTCTTTTTTCCTTTGCAGTCTGACTTTCCAGGGGTCTGGGTTTTGTTTTTTGTTTTTGGCTAGGCAATGGCAAGTCACTTAACTTGCCCAGGGTCACACAGCTAGTAAGTATCAAGCGTCTGAGGCCACATCTGAACTCAGGTCCTCCTGACTCCAGGGCCGGTGCTCTATCCACTGCGCCACCTAGCAGTGCCCTGCCCCCCCCCCCCCCCCTGGTTCCTTATAAACAAAACTTGTAAGCCCCGAACCAGGCCTGTGCCCTGCCTGGACGCCAGAGCTCCCATCGGATGTTTGCTCATTTCTGCCCTCCCCGTCTTCCTCTCTGCTGCAAGAATGAGCTGGGGACACTTTAGAAGAGCCCACATTGGAGTGGTAGCTGTGCCCCAGCAGGGCCTGCATCCCCATGCTGTCCCCTTAGCAAATATCCGTACTAGAAGGGCCACTGGCCAGCGGTGCCCGCTTCTGCCACCTCTGCTCTGCTCATACCTGCCCCCAGGCCACTTTTCGCCCCTTTCCCATGGGGCCTCCCCTCAGCCTTCCCACTCCAGATGCCCCGCTGGGTTTGGGAATTAATTACACCACATCGGAGCCAAAATTCCAGTGCCTTTGAAAGCCCAAAGAAGAGGGAGTGCTCCAGCTCCAAGGATAGGTTCCTCTTTCCCTTTGTTGGGGACCCAGGGTTCCCAGGCCTTTGATCTCCCAGCCTCAATGGCTCCTCTCCACAGGGCTGGGCTGGGGACAATGTCGCCATTGTCGGGCCTGTCACCAATCCCATAGCGGGGCATTCCTTTCCAGTCACTATTTCTGGTAGGTAGAGACAAATGGGCTGCTTGTCATGTAAAAAAAAAAGTCATAGTATCTGGAAGGAGCTGCTTTCATTTAAAAGAAAAATACCCAGCCAGCCATCAGGAGAGACAATGGAGGGTGACTGGTCCATGGGGCTTTTATGAACGAGAAATGGAGCTTAGGGCATTCGGATTTGGGGGTGGGAGTCTCTACAACTAAACTGGGAGAGAGAGCCAGAGTTTTGAAGGTTTCAGAATGACTCTGAAAAACAGTTTTTATCTTTTTTCCTCCCCTATTTTAAAAAATCTTTTTTATTTTATTTTTATATTATATATGTATATATGTGTTATATATGTCTATATATTAATGGAAAGAACTGCCTTTGGACTGAGAGCTGGGGGACTGCTTTCCAATCCTGCCTCTGTCACTTATGGCTTGTGGGACTCTGAACAAGTCACTTTCCATCTCTCTGTGACTCTACTTACTCATCTGTAAAATAAGAGGCCTGTTCTAAATGCTTTCTCTGGTCCCTCCCAGCTGCAGAGCTACACTCCCCAAAGATGGTAAGTGGCTTTCTTTCTTCTCCACCCCGTTCCTGCCCTGTTCCCCGGGAACAGTCACAGCTCACCAAGGGCGGGGGACACACACATCGTTTGGGCCACCCTGCTGAGCAAGGCTTATTGTATCCCTTAGAAGCCCTCAGGTCTCCCTTCAAAGTGGGCACGGAGCCACTGGCAAAAGGAAAGACTCCACAGGCCAAAAGGAATGAGAGCCAGAGGGGCCTGGTGGGCTATCTGTTCTAATCCCCACATTTTACAGATGAGGAAACTGAGGCCCACCGAGGTTTGACTGATTTGCCTAAGTCAGATCTACCTACACAAGGCTGTCTGTTCTAATCTCCACACTTTGCTGAAATAGAAACTGATGTGGATCTGGAAACCAGCCCAGGGAAGTTATGCAGCAGAACCAGGTGTTTAAAGCCAGGTTCTTGACAGTTAAGACATTTGCTCTGTCTATACGGTAATCAAAATCCAGGGATCATATCCACAAGAAGCGTAAGAGAACAAATCCCAGGGGCGACCTCTGCAGCTGTTCTTACGGCTCTGGCCTTGGAGTCAGGAAGACCTCAGTTTTAATCCTGCCTCAGACACTAAATAGTGGTGGCCTTGGGTGAGTCACTTAACTACCATCTGCCTCAGTTTCTTCAACTGTAAAATGGGGATCATAACAGAACCTACCCAATAGGGTGGTTATAAGGATCTGACGAGAGATAACATTTCTCAAGTAAACCATCAAGCGTTATGCAAATGCTAGTTATTATTATTAATAAAATGTTTATTACTGCACATTTCTAGCTAATGAGTTGGTGAAGGCCAATAATCCTCACTATATTGACTTCTTTTTTTTTAAGAGACAGATGTTTAATGCAATATTTTCTTTTTGACATTGCTGACATTTCCCCCGTACCTCTCCTCCTCCATCCTCCCAAAGGAATTTTTTCATTGCCTTTAAGCTAGAAGTTCTTAACCTCAAGTACATGAATTAATAAAAAAATTTTTGATAACTATTTCAAAATAATTAATTTCCTTTGTAATTCTATATATTTTATTTCATTCACTTAAAACTATTATTGTAAGAAGGGGCCCATAGGCTTCACTAGACTGCCCAAGGAGTCCATGCCACAAAAATGTTAAGAAAACCTCTGTCCTAAATGGATTCTTCTTTAGCAACACACAGATGGTAGAGGAATCCCTCCCACGTCCCCAGTCTACTGAACCTATACAGGTGTCTTGACCACTGCCTACCACAGAAGCCACTCTGCAAACCCACCCCTCCCAACTTGGATGGACCACTAGTAAGAAGCTCAAGGCCCAGCCAACATGGCGGTTGGTCCTGCTGAGGCCACGCCAGCAAAGTGCCCAGGCAGGATGTGAAGAAGACAGCAAGTCACTCTCTTGAAGTGGCTGTCTGGACACAGACTGACTGCACCAAGAAGCCTGGAGCAAGCCAGGGCCTGGCATCCTCTCATCTGTGGTTACGGTGGTCAAGTAAGTAGGTGTCTCCAGTGGAACGTGAACCAGACTGTAAGAACTGCCAAGAATAGGTCCTGCCTACCTTTGATAAAAGAGGCCCGGAGAAAGGACAAGAACTTCTTCCTTAATGCAGAGGCAGCAATCCCCTTCTCCACCCTATACACCCACCAATGCCCACTCCTTTGCAACATCTGAGTAGAGCAGAAATAACACAGGATCTGGAATCAGAGAAACCGGGTGCAAAATTCCACCTCTGTTACTTAAGATCTGTTCACAGCCTTGGGCAGGTGGTTTCATTTCTCTGGGCCTCTGGTCTCCTCCTTTGTAAAACAAAGGGGTCTGGCTCAATGGCCCATAAGGACCAGCTTTAGATCTATAGTCCTATGTCCTTTGACCTTTCCCTTCAGTTCTAGGGATTGCTAACATCTTCCTCTCCGAGTCCTTCACTTCTAAGGGATAGAAACAGGCTCTGCCATTTCCTAATCATGGATGGCAATCCAGGTCTTCAGACTCCAAATCCAGCACTCTAGCTACTGTGGCAGGCTTTAAAGGGGGGACTGTAGACCACCCCAGAGCCTCCTCAGAGGTCATCTGGCCCAGGTGCGACCAGAGCGGGAATTCCTTTAACAATGTCCTGGACGATGGCCTCTTCTGGAAGACTTCCATGGATGGGAAGCCCAACACCTGAGGCCAGGGCTGCCCATCCCACTCTGGGGCAACACTAATTATTTCCTTACATAGGGTTGAAATCTGCCTCTCAAGAACTTGTTCTCCCTTCTCCTAGTTTTGTCCTCTGAGGCTAAGCAGAAGAAAGATAAGCCCAAACACCATCAACTTCAACAACCACTGTGAAGGAGGGGGTTGGCAGTGGGGTGAGTATCATGGGACAGAGCAGCCAAGGTAGAGAGAGCATCACAGTACTTGACAGAAGGAACCTAAGAACCCGGGCCAAGGACAAGATCAAAGCCACTGGCCAAGCTGCCAGTAAGACATATACAGCCCCACGCTCTGCCATCAGTCCCTGGGAAACAGTCCCTGAAGTATCAAGCTCTCTGATGCAGCTCAGGAAGAATGAGTGACTGCTCTGAGCCAGATCTGGGACGGATCAGCAGTGTGGTGACCATCCCCAACTTCCTCCCACCGACCCACCACACCTCTAAACATCAGACCTCTGGGCTACTCCCACCTGGCATCCACCTCCCACCTGGTATCACCCATACACACACGCCAAGGGAGGCAGCCCAAGGTGCCGGCAGCCCGGCAGCCACGCCCCTTACCGAGCGCACAAGCAGCACTTGAGAAGACTCGGTCCCCGCTGCTGGTGCCAAGGAAGGGAGAGACAACCCGTTTCACCAACTCCTCCAGCTGCAGGTAGCCTTCACTGGGGCCTGTGGGCTCATGGACACTCTGGAAAACAACACCCAAAGCACACAAAGGTCAAGCGGAGCTCAGCCGGCTGGGCGCTGGCAGCCACGTTTGTACAGATGTGGAAAAGGAGGCCTGGGAGGGGAAAAGCAACTCACTCTCATCACTTAGAAAGACTCTGGAGGACGAGGAAACGGAAACCAAGTTCTCTGGGCCAGCTTCCTTTGACTTCAGTTCAAGTCAACAGGCATTTTAAAGCACCTACTCTGTGCAAAGTGCTATGGGAGGTGACGGGGACACTAGCACCTCAACCCCCCTCCCCCAACTCCACCAGCATTACCACTGCCACTACCATTAGACATTTATAGAATGCTCGAAAGCTGGCAAACGGCATCACACGTTACATCAGCTGGGCCTTAAAGCAAGCCATTTTACAGATGAGGAGGAACAGAAGTGAGTGGCTTGTTCACACAGCCAGCAGTAAAGGAAGGATCTGATCCCAGGTTCTCTCTACCCTGAGCTGGGCTTTGCCCCTCCAATCAATCAATCAACAGGCATTTGGTTATCACCGAGTGTATGCCAGGAACATGCTGAGATCTAGTAACGCAGACAAAAGCCCTTAGGAGCTTATCCTCTCATGGGGAACCACAAGGAACACAACACGCATGTACATGTGTATGTACGAGACACACACAAAGACACTAACGGGACTGAAGGGACCTAAAAGTCGGCTGGATCAGCCCCTTCATTTTACAGATGAGGAAACAGTCCAGGACAGAGAACGTGACCTATCAAGGTTGTACAGCTCCTCAATAACAGTAGTGATGAAGAGTCCGTGGCAAGGCCAGTGAGGGAAGAAGAGAGCAAGGAAAAAAAGGGGAGAAAGCAAAGGAGAAAGACAAAAGGGAAATTATGGGGTGGTGTAGAAAAGTATCAGAAACATAAGCACTAACCCCAAGATAGTGATGTTGCTAAGCATATGGCCCTGGATGAGTCTTTGGGCCTCAGTTTCCTTCTCTTTAAATCTGAGGCTGATGAACTAGATGATCTCTACATTCCCATCTAATGCTAAATCTACAATCCTATATTTATAATAATAAGTGACAGCCCTTTAAAGTTCAGGAACCACTTAATATCCATTATCTTATTTGGGCCCTCACCAGAACCCTGTGGTCACTTTAATGCTCATATCTATATAATGATCCAAGGTTTCCATTGCACTTTCCTCTCGTCCATGCGAGGTAGGAAGGGTAAGTATTATGATCCCCATTTTATAGATGGAGAAACTGAGGTTCAGAGTGGTTAAGTGAGGTGTCTGGGGTCACACCAATAGTAAGTTCCAGAGCCTAGATGTAAACCCAAGGTCCTTCCTAACACCAAGTCCAGGACTTCATGCTGGGCAGCCACAGGGAAGCCAGCCAGTGGGCTCAATTCAAGGGTCACTTTCTACGTCCTCTTCCCATCCCACCCCATTCCCTTCTATCTATTTTGAATATACTTAAATATCTAACATGTGGTTTTCTCTGATAGAATGTAAGCTCCCCAAGGGCAGGGGCCATTTCGCTTTTCTCTATTACCAGCACCCAGCACAGTGCCTGGCACATGGTAAACATTTCGTAAACGTTTGTTGATTGAAGCCCAAGTCTGTGAAGCTCTGTAGTTTGAACAAGGGATGGGCCTCGATCTGGCCCCAGGGGCATTACTAAAAGACATGGGTATAAGCTGCAAAAAGACCGATTCAGGCTTCACAGAGGGAAACGTTTGCCAACCATCAGGGCTCCCCTTAAGTAGAATGGACTTCCTTGGAATGTACTGAGTTTCCTGTCCCCGGAGGTCTTCAAACACAGGCTAGGGAGGGGGGTCATACTCAGCTGCGGATTCCACCAGACCTCCTGGGAGGCCAGTTTCTGTCACTCCGTGAGTCACCCTCCCAAGGGACCCATGGGGTGGGGGAGGAGAGAGGCCTCATCTCCTCAGGTGCCACTCAGGGGAGCGCTTTCAGCCACAAAACCACCTTGGCTGGTTTTCAGGCCCAGGAATCGCTTTCAGTCACTTTTACTGCCTCTGTTATTTCTAAAGCACCTTTCCCCACCCTCATCGCAGCTGCTGCCCTCACCCCAACCCTACACAGAAACCCTACTGAGGATGAATGATAGGAAACGAGAGACCAGAGAGGGGAGAAAGGGCTGAGGCTGGGAAAGTGTCAGCCAGCCCAGCAGGGGGCTGCCCCTGCCCTGCGGCCCCACTGGGTGCAGTGCTCCCCTCCAGCCGCTTCACTTCTTGGAAACACCTCAGAACCCCTCTGCCCCTGAGCTCCAGGAACAGGCTATGGGTCACATCAGGCCTCTTCCTGGCTTCAGGAAGGCCAAGAGTCGGAGGCTTCAGAGCCGGTGGGGCCCTCGGACACCAGCTAAGTCCAAGCATCTGCTGCGATACAAAAGGAGGGAGGGCTTCTCCAAAAGGGAGCCAGGGGCTGTGGTGGGGGACAATGTAGTAGTAGTAATAATAATGGCAATAATAAATGAGGTAATCTGCTGTAAAGCACTTAGCACACAGCCTGGCACATCGTAGTGCTATTATGGATATTAATAACAATAACTAGCATTTACACGGCACCTCAAGGCTTACAAAGTGCTTTAACCCCACAGCCCTGGGAGGTAGGTGCTACTGTCACCCCCACTGGACTGTGAGGTCTTTGAGGGCAGGGAGTGTTTTTCTTCATATTAATTGTATCTCCAGAGTATATCACAGTGTGTGGCATACAGTAGGAGTTTAATAAATGTTTACTGGATTTTGCAGATGATGAAACAGAGGCAGAGAGTTTCAGTCACTTGCCCAGGGTGACACAGCTGGGTAAGTACAGTGTTTGGCACACACCAGGTACTTAATAAATGTTTATTGAATGCATGAGGGGTAATAGTGGATAGATTGCCAGGTCTAGTGGCAGGAAGACCTGAATTCAAATCCAGCCTCAGAAACTGCCTAGCTGTGTGACCCTGGGCAACTCACTTATCCTGTTTGTCTCAGTTTCCTCATCTGTAAAATGAGCTGGAGAAGGAAATGGCAAACCCATCCAGTATCTGCCAAGAAAACCCTAAATGGGGTCACGAAGAGCTGGACTCGACTGAAATAAATGAACAACCACAAAAATGAACTCAGGTCTTCCTGGCTCTATGGCACACACTCTACCCACTGCACCTGGTAACTGCCTAAGGAAGAAAGGGGAGAGCTCGGGCTCCATGAGTGAAGCCCGGGGCCTGGGAAGAGGGGACAGCCCCACCCCACACAGCCCCCAAAGTTGGAAACATTTGGAGGCTGTCATCCAAGGACTCTGTTTTAGGAAGGCCACTGATAACGTGGAGGGAGCCCGGGATGGTGGAGGGCCTCAAGATCATGCCACACGTGGATGTTTAACCTGAAAAAGAGAAAACTAAAGGAGGTGGTAATGGTCGGTCTCCGAAGGGCTGATGTGTGGAAAGGAGATTAGCCTTGTGCTCGGTGTTACAGGGCAGCACGACGAGCAGTGGTCAAGAGGCAGAAAGAAGTGGCTTAGGGACATGGCACAGGAGGCAGAGAGTTCCCCTGACCAGCGGTCTTCCAACCAAGGCTGGAGGACTCTCTGTCATTTAGAAACAGGACTAGATGGTCTCTGAGAGCCTTTCCAACTATGAAGCTCTGTGTGTGTGTGTGTGTGTGTGTGTGTGTGTGTGTGTGTGTGTGTAAGTAAAAGGACTTGCCCAGGGTCACAGAGATAATTAGTAGAAAAGCTGGGATTTGAACTCAGGTCCTCTGACTCCCCAAAGCCAACACTTTTCACATGGATTTTCAGCAGATGATTGAGCCAGCTGGGAACAGACCCACACTGTGGGCCATTTATCTAGGAAACACCCCCTCCCCAACCCCCTGGGAAAAGAGATTGTAAAGACCCTGACAACTGAGTCTGGGCTACGTTTCAGGCAATCGGGAAAGGGAGGGGGAGCTTGCTTGCTTTGCAGGGGAGGCCAGAGGGAGCACAGTGGTGAGCAGAACCCAGGGTACCAACATCTCTGGGATGTTCCCAGTGATCAGCATACCCTGGAGAGGCCCATCCAGCTCTGGGCTGCTGGTCCAACCGAGGCAAACACAGAACCACCTTCTTGTTCTATCCTGATTTAATCTCCTTCCAAGGAGACAAGGAATGAGCTATTATCCCAGTCTTTTAATGCAATGGGGGGATGGGGAGTAAAGAAGCCCCCAATCCTCCTGGTCTACCCCTAGAGGGGACAGGAAAGACCCATGTCACAGAGGTGAAGGTACTCAGAGAGACTTACTAAGCTGTGTGACTGTGAGCAAGTACTTCATCCCCGTCCGCCTCAATTTCCTCTTCTGTAAAATGAGTGGGTTGGGTTCAATGGCTTCCAAGGCCCTTCCCGCCTGAGATTCAGGAGTCTTTGACCTCCGACTTTCTACTTTACTTGTGAATCCAATACAGATACAAGCGACAAACACGTTGAGGCAGCGCTTGGGTCTTATCCATAATTTTTATCTCTGTCAGCACTACACAGCACTAGTGCTCTCTGCACACAGTAGGTGCTTAAAAAAACACGTACAGATTGATATTTAAAAACAGCCCCAAACAACACTGATTATATCTAGGCACCTGGCGCCATGCTCAGCACGGACAGGAGATGCAGAATCCCAGAATTCCTTAGCTGGAAAGCATCTCCAAGGCCTCCTAGCCCAGCTCGTTTCCAGTGAGAACACGGAAAGGTGAAAGCGACTTCTGAGCTAGCCAGCGGTGCAGGGAGGCCGCCCGGCCCCAGGACACACACACACAGCCTCACCTGGAGAATGAGCAGCATCTGGACGATGGATGATGGGACTTTGGCCTGTCCCGCAGGAAGCATCTCCTCCAGCTTTACTCTGAGGAGAACGAGGTCCCGAAAACCTAGCAGGGCAATCTGGCGGATAGTCAGCTCCTGCCCCTGGAGGAGAGAGGGGACCAGAGAGAAAGGCAAGCAGGTAAACTGCACTGAAATGGGAACCCTTCCAGAGCCCACGTGCAGCTCTCCTGTACTCCATCCCGATCAGTCCAACCCAACCCCCCACCACCACCAAGTCCACGTCCCTCCACTCTGTCCTCCTTCCATGCTCTACTCTGACAACCCATTCCCCTCCATCTTTGTCCAATCTCCCCCATTCCCTCTATTCCTTTCCAATTCACTCCAATCCATTCCAGAAGTCCCTAGTAAAGGCCAGTTAGCTCTTCATTCCTGGCAGAAGTGCTGGAGGACTCTGAAAAATCAAGTAGGGTCTCTCCTCTCACGGAGTTCACTCTTTTAAAGAAACGAGACTTTCACACCTGAAGCAGACTTGAAACCCTCAGGGACCACCACAACTGGTGTGTACTAAAGAAAACAATGTGGCATCGAGGTGGCCACGCAGGACAGAGACAAGTAGGAGAAGAGAAGAGAACAAAGAGGAAGAGCTGGGGGGCACAGTGGAGAGTGTTGGGTTGGAGTCAGAGGACCCACATTCAAGTCTCTTCACTGCCCCTGGTTCCCTTGGTAACTGAGCAAATTTTTTCATCTCTGTGAACCTCTGTTTCATTTAAAATGATGGGGGTGGTCTACAGAGATGACCCAGAAGGTCCTTCAGGGGTCTAGATCCACGATTCCAGAATCTCCAAGGTCCCTTTCAGCCCCAAATCTGTGATCCCAAGAAAAAACAGGGAAATGGGTCAGTGTTAATGGCCAGAAGTATTGCTTCCTTTCACCTGGGGAACGCTCCAGGTCACATTCCATGTAGACATAGAAGCAGGGTTTCCCCAGTTAAATCCTGGACATGAGGCTATTGCAGAAGGGAAGCTCTGACTCAGGCCAAAAGGGATCTGGGTGACGTTTGGGTGACCTCCCCCATTTGGGGCATGTAGCATAGTCACTGAGTCAGGGAAAATGAGGAAGCGGCCCTGTCACTAAAGTTCAGCTCGCCTATCTCCATGAGTCCCCGCCCTCCCAAACCCAAGCCAGAGGCTCCATCAGAAGCTCAGAATCAAAGAATGTTCAAATTGAAAGGGACCCACAGATCCTCCGGTCCAGTCCATTCATTGTTCAAATGAGGAAACTGAGGCACAGAGAGGAGAAATGATTTGTACAGTGTCACAGAAAAGCCAAGTGCTACCTAGAAATCAAGTGGGTCTGTCTTCTCCAAGCCCACTGCAGTTTAAGGAAGCTTCTTACATCCTTTAACTGCTCAGAGCTCTGGGAAATGCTGCCATCATCTCTCATCTCCAAGCACCTTTGCCTCAGTCAGATGGCACCTCCTTCAGTCATCCATGTCTGGCCACCTGGGCTGGGAAAATCTCTCCCTCCTGCAAAGGCTGAGAGCTCTCGGTGCCTTCTCCACTCACATGGTCCTTCCTATAGGCCTAGCTCTGATCGCAATCATTGGTGTGTTTTAGACACTCATGGAATCTCACCGGAAACCGCCAAGTCTAGCCCCTAACCTCTAGGACATCCCTGACAGGTCTCTGCATGAAGACCTCCAAAGAAAGAGAACTCACTGCTTCCCAGGCACCCAATCCCCCCCCCCCACTCACCCACCCAGGAAGGCTCTCCTTGCTAGGAAGTCTAACTCTGCTTCCTTGTTTCAATTCAATTCAATTCAACAAGCCTTTATTAAAGGCCTACTCTGTCCTTGCCTAGGCTGGGTCCTGGGGATTGGTGTTATTGTTCTGTCATGTCCAATCCTTCATGGTCCCATTTGGGGTTTTCTTGGCAAAGATCCTGGGGTGGTTTGCCATTTCCTTCTCCAGCTCATTTTACAGATGAGTAAACTGAGGCAAACAGGGTGAAGTGACTTGACCAGGGCCACACAGCTAGTAAGAGTCTGAGTCTTCCTGACTCCAGGCCTGGTGCTTCATGCACTGTACCACCTAGCTGCCCTTGCTGAAGATACGACCAAAGTCCCATGCTCTCAATGATCTCATATTCTTGTGGGGGTTGGGGAGAAAAAGGAAATAAATGCAAAATAAATACAAGGGGGGGGTGGCCCTAACATCTTAGGGAATTAGCAAATACCTCTTACAGGGGGTAGCAAATGAACCAAGCCTTAAAGAGAGATGGGGGTCCCCAGGTGAGGAAGGAGAACATTGTAAAGGCAGGGAGGCAGAAGAAAGCATACAGAGAAAGTCAAGCAGTCCAGCCTCTACCCACTGCTCCTAGGAGTTGGAGACCTCTTCCAGGTGACCCTGGACTGGAAGCTTCCGGAGGGCAGGACCCTAATACTCCTAATATACACCACTCATGAAGCTCAGAACATAGCAGGTGCTTGATGGACACCCACTCACCTCCATGTTAAAAGACAGAATAGCTCTTACCTGCCCACAGCTCAGAATGAACTTAAATCTTGGGGGCAGAACGGTGGCAGAGATAGGGTCCATTTCCCTCCTTTCTGGAATCACTGCCCACCCAGAGGATGGCCAGTGCAGGGCTCTCCTGCACGAGGCCCCAGCTTCATGGCATCAGAGATTTTGAAAGGAGGAAAATTCTTTTCATTGTTTAATTTTTCACTTGGTTCTGAGAAAAGTAATCTATATGCTACCTCGCCCTAAACCTCTCCTGGGGAGATTAGACGTTATCACAAAACCTCAGGAATTCTTACCACGCAGAGCAGCACTTTGTGTGCAGCAGATAAGGGGGGGTTATCTGTGTAGATGCCAGGGGAAGGCATTAGTAACAAAAACTATTATTATAACTCATAATCACACTTGGGTAATTATGGATAATTATGATGATTATAACCACAGAAATACATTTGTATATTTTGATGTAGTTTTTACCATCACAAAGAACTTTCTGAACATCATAATTGACTTTGAGACCTGGAAGTATGCTTGGAGATAATCTGGTCCAAACCTTTCATTTTACAGATGAGGAAACTGAGGCCCAGAGAGTAAGACTTGCCCAAGGACACACAACTAAGGTGGCACAGGGGAACCTGACAGTCCACGAGATGCCAAGGCCAACTTCAGTGTGCACGCCTCATGGAGTTACTGCTTGTGGCTCAAGCTAGAGATGAAACATGAGGCCTACAGAAATGGGAGAAAAGGAAGGAGGTGGAGTTGATGTCGAACTCTGTAAGGTTCTCAGCAAAAATAATGGTGGGCAAAGAAGAAAGGAAGGCAAGAGAACACAGTTTTTGGATCCCCTGTGCCTGGTGATTGCATAAGCAGAGGGGTTCTGAATAATGTCACCAGCATGCCATGCTAGAACCCTAATCCAGTTCTTCCTCTGGGGAGCCTTTCACAGAAGCAACTATATTGCATTGATATTCTTTTTTTTTTTCCTTTCAGGCAATTGGGGTTAAGTGACTTGCCCAGGGTCACACAGCTAGTAAGTGTTAAGTGTTTGGTCTGAGGCCAGATTTGAACTCAGGTCCTCCTGACTTTAGGGCAGAAGCTCTATCCACTGTGCCACCTAGCTGCCCCAGAAGCAACTATATTGCAAAGTGACATATCTCCTATCCAGTTAGAACTCCAAAAGACTGGCCCAGAGTCCTGGGATCACAGACTGAGAGCCAGTAGGAATTTTAGAGGCTGCCCTCTCGTGTTGCAGCTGAGGAAACTGAGGCCCGGAAAGGTTTCCGGACTAAGATCACCAAGTGAGTGAGAGGTGGCATCTGAACTCAGATCCTCCATCTTAAGGGCCAATGTGCTTTGTGTGCTACCAAACTAAAGTCCAGAGAATGAAAGGACATGCCCGAGACAGCACAGCGGGTTTGGAGCCACACCAGCACTTGAAGCCAGGTCTCTTGCCTCTCGGTGTTCTTTTCTTGCATCTGTATTTGAGGAATTTAGCCCAGTTTCTAAAACATGATCAGCACCTATTCAACGCTTGTTGGCCTATTAGGCTGACTTCTCACTACACCAAGTTTTTCTTGCATACAGCATGAGACAGAGTAGACGCTGGCCTGTCTGTAAAGTGTATATGAAATGTTGCTTCAGTTTGGTGTCATCTTCTGGGCTATCTTCTTAACCAAAGAATCTCACTGCAGTATCTGGCAGTTTTTTGGTGGTTTTTTTGGGTCCAGACTTGTGATTTCATCAGTGTGAAAACTTCCTCCTTGGATAAAGATCAGCCACTTAATCTGTATTACAGTCCTGGAGGCCTGCCTGGATCACAGAATGACAGAAGGGAATCTGGAGGGGCCCTCAGAAGCTAACCCACTCATTTTACAAGACAGGAGGCTGAGGCCTGGGGTGCTTGAGTGATTTGTTTAGGGTCTCATGGGTAGCAAGTAAAAGGATTCAAACCCAGATCTTCTGACTTCAGAACCAGAGCTCTTTGAGAGCTCCAGTGATTTGCTCATAGTCACACTGCTGGGCTATGTCGAGGGACAACCTGATCCCAGGTATTCCTCATTTCCAAGGTCAGTCCCGCTCCCCCCATGCCACATTACTTCTGGCATCCTGGGGGACCTGGCTGGTTCCTGTTATTTCCTGCTGCTGGGTTCCTGGAACCACCCAGTTTTCTTCATGTGTCTTGGGATGGGCATGAATGGTTACAGTCTTTGCCCTATAAAAAGGTTAAAGCGTTGCCTTTAGGGCTTCCAGGGTCCATGCTAAATATTACATTTGTGATTTTTTTTGAAGACTTAAGATTTATAAAAAACTGGAGGAGGACATAAAAAGTATGCCCCGTGTCTCCGGTGTTTAAAACGAGGTTGAATCAGATCCAAGGCTCAAGGCACCAGAGGGGTGCCATCACGCCCACTATCTCACACAACAAATCATGCTGTTGTAGAAGGTTTGGCTGTAAGGACCAACCCTCCCCTACGCCTCTCCCATTCCCCATAATTCCCCAAGGCAAGAAGGCTTTAACTTTGACCTCTTTTCAGCAGGAAAACTCTGGTCTTGGGTTTTGTTATGGCATAATTTTATAGTAGGGCGGGTGTACCCAGCTCACGCAATATGACCTCTAAACTAGTTAATCATTCGTTCCTTGGAGGATTATTGCAGCCCTTCTGAGGGGCACCCAGCCATGGGAAGGAATCCCATCCCAAGCTAGGACCAGCTTTCAAAAAAGTGCCTTAAAGAGTCATCAAATCATTAAATCCCTGCAGGGTTTTAAGCTCCTTTCTTATTAAAAGACAAAAACACATAAATGTCTCTCTTACCCAAAGGACAGTCCAGTATCTCCTGGTTAGGCATGAGGAAAGATAAAAAGCAAAGAGCAAACGGTTTCATTAAACACACATGAGATTATAATGCTGAGGATCACAGACCAAGACTTGGAAGGGACCTCAGAGCCCTTGTCCTCCAACCCCCTCGTGTCACTGAGGAGGAAAGGACGACAAAGGAGGCGACTGGTCCAAAGCCACAGAGACGGTACATGCCTGGAGCAGGGTTCAAGCCCAGGCATTCTTGACTCTGCACTGAATAGGGTTATCCTGCACACGAAGGAACAGGTCCGGCCCTCTTATCACATGGTGGTCCTGGGATTCAAACCAACCTCCTCCAATTCCAAAGCCCTGGTTCTTTGCCATGGCACTGCCTTCACTACCAGGTTCATAGAATCACAGTTCCAGAGCTGCACAGAGCCTCAGATGTCACCTGGTTCCACACTCTCATTATAGAGCCAGCCAGGTGGCTCGGTAGACTGAGCTCTGGACCCTGAGTCAGTAAGACCTGAGTTTGAATCTGGTCTCAGACACTCACTAGCTCTGGTGACCCTAAGCAAGTCACTTTACCTCTCTCTGCCTCAGTTTTCTCATCTGTAAAATGGGGATAACAATAGCACTCTCTCCCAGGGTTGTTCTGAGGATCAAGATAATATTTATAGAGCGCTTCATAAGCCTTAAAGCACTATACAAATGCTAGCTATTACATGATTAGCTGTTATTACAGAGGGAGAAACTGAGTCCCAGGGAGGTTAAATAAACAAGGTCACACTGGTAGCTACAGTCAGAGGTGGGATTTGAACTCAGGTTCTTAGACTCCATTGGAAAAAAGTCCATTGGACTTTCCATCATACTGATGGTACATAATGGTAAAAGTCCACATTTGCATAGCACTTTAGCACTGACAAAGTCATTTCCTTGAAAGCAGCCCTGTGGCATAGATTGTAGGGCATTCCCTCACCAAACCGTAGAGTCAGCTGTAAGAGACTCTAGGGGTCACCTTGTCCAACCCTCCTCATTTTACAGAGGAGGAAAGTGACACATCCCTTCACTGATGGCAGATAACAAGCCCCTACAACATACACACAAGGTCTCCCTGTCACTTCCATACACATTTATTAAGTGTCCCCTGGGTAGTAGGCACCGGAGGCTCCCAAACCAAAAATTGGGAGAACTGACGTTCAAGGAGCTTCCCTTCGACTTGACATAGGGAATCAATATGTGTTTATGAATAAATAACACAAAGTAATTCAAGGGATCAAAGTAACAAGAGACAGCAACGCACAGTGGACAGGAGGCCAGACTCAGAGTCAGGGAAGACCTAGGTTGAGGTCCTGCCTTTGACATGTACTATTTGTGTGACCCAGAGCAAGTCACTTAACCCTGTGCCCAAGGCAACTTTCTAGGACCATCACTGTCAGACAGCATTGTGGAAGGACCTTCCACAACTGGGTGCCCCTCGTTTGGACAAATTGCAAAAATTTCCAGACAGGAAACAAAATCGAGAGATATCCTGGACAACCTTCTATGTTACAGACCACGTGCTGATCTGTACCCAAGAAAGGAGTTTCCATAATAGTTGCTCCTTATACTAATGAAATCATGTCTAGACTAAAAACGAATAAATATGCAAAATTGAGGGAAGAAATGCCAACATTTGGGGGGGTGGGGGAAGAATCAGGAAAAGCTTTGTGTAGATTCTAGCACCCCTCCTCAAGTACCTGAAGATCTATCATGGACCCCAAAGTCATTGCTGGAGACCAAGCTGGAAGGAACCTCAGTGACCATCTGGTCTAACCAAGAACTGAACAAGAAATGCCTAGAAAACATTCCTGGTAACAAAAAAATACCCAAATTCCAGATAAATTGGGGTCAAGGAGACCAGCTACGCTCAAGTTTCTGAACCATTCTCAGTAATAACCTGGTTTGAGGTCTCACTAGCCCTGCCTCATCTGGTTTTTAATTGACTTTCAGTGAAGGGGAATCCTTTACCTTGTAAGACAACTAATTGTACTTTTAGACAGCTCTAACGACTAGGAAGTTTCTCCTAACAGCAGGCTAATTGTATATGATGACTGTTAATGGGAAGTACACTGGTGGGGGCTCATAAGCTATAGTATTAGAAATGAAGACCCACAGGTCATTCCTCTAGAAACTGAGAAAGCAACTCTTTGGGGACCCAACTCACAAACAAATGCAAATGAAAGCTAAGGGAGTATTGCAAGGAGGGGTGTGACAGAAGTATGAAGGTAGGACTTTAGGAGAGGGGTCCAAGTATCATCATCTCCATTTTATAAATGAAGAGACAAAGACTCGCTGAGATGTATCTGTAGCAAGCCCCAAACTCAGGAAGAAAATATCAGAGTTGAGACTTGAACCCAGGATCGCCAACTTTGAATCCAATGTTGTTGTTTTTTTTTTCTACCATGTCCCATACAGGCAGTAATCCATTTCTCTGTTCCAAGAATGTGTTGGGTTTTCACCAGGTGTGCAAGGGCAGGATGTCTCACTGTGCTCCTCCTTCACTGTCCCTTACACGGTTCCCACCTCCTAGCCTCACACCCCAACCCCCACCAAAAATGGCTCTTAAATCATACTGCCAATGCAGGTGGCCATCTCCTCTGCCTGAGGATATGATTAGAAGAGATGTCAGAGCCGCCCATTCAGACGGAGCCTCAACAGGAATCCTCTCTATGGCATCTGAAAATTATGCCCATCCATCCATCTCCATACCTATCCATCCATCCAACTTATTCAACTGTGCTCACTTGTCTATATATGCAGCATTCTCCCTCTCCACCCCCTCCCTCCTGCCCCCTGGTAGGATGCACGCTTCTTTAGGACAAAGGCAGGGGCTGCTTCATTTTATGTTTTTGTATCCCCAGTGCTCCGGGGACGAGGAATTCGCTACTTCCAGAAACAGCCCTTTCCCCTTTGTGACCACTCTAGCAAGTTTATCCTTAGCTCAAGCTGAAAGAAGGCTCAGCAAGTATCTTCATTCTAAAAGGACCCTGAGGTTGGTAGCAAACTCCTTGTCTGCCTCATGAAAGATAACAGAATACCCCAAACTGATGGCCCACAACTGGCCTGCAGCTCCCGGATTCCAGTGGATTCATAATAAAAATAACAATAGTAATGGCAGCTAATATCATATCACACTTTTAAGATTTGCAAAGTGCTTTACTATTATCTCACTTGATTCTCACAATAACCCTGGGAGGTAGATACTATTATTATGCCCATTTACAGATGAATAAACTGAGTTGTGCTTGATCAAGGCTAGATCACTACTCATTGTTTAAGAGAGGATTCGAATTCAGGTCTCCCTGACTCCAAGTCCAATACTCTAGCTACAAATCTACCTGGATGCTGATGGGATGAAAAGAAGAGTTACAATTACTGTATACTGAATTTATCTAATGAGACTGACCTGAACAGGGTAAAATATCGCCTGCAGGGTGGGGAGGGTCTCAGTGAAGAAGTGATCCCATACTTCACCCAGAAGGTCAATTCGATTTTCACCTAGATGTGGAAAGACAGGATGGTAGAGGTAAAGAAAAGAATCATCAATTATTATTTGAGTGTCCCATCTCCCCTAATTCCATTTTAAACACGTACTCCTTTCTCTCCAGAGAAAAGCTCAATGGTCATCTCCTACTTGAGATCTACAGGGATCCCTCAGCTATGACATTTTGAAATGACTTTGCATTACTTTGTATGCCTGACACATAGTAAGCACTTAATAAATGCTCGCCTGTCCATCCATTTGTCTGTCTACCTATTGGACCATCCACCTGTGCATCTATCTCTCCGTCCATCCATCTCCACAACTGTCCATCTGTATAGTCAACTATGTGTTCAACTTGTGTATATGCTGCATTCTTCCTCTCCACCCCCTCATTTTTGCCCCTTGGTAGAATGTAAATTTCTTAAGAACAGCAGAAAATCCTTTTCATTTTGTGTTTTTGTATCCCTGGTGCTCCAAAAGGTGGCGCCTGAGTTGAGCTATGAAGCGACCTAGGGATTCTAAGAGGTGGAGGTGGTGCATTCCAGGCAAGGGACACAGCTGGGACAAAGACATGGAGGCAGGAGATATAAGCAGCAAGCATGCTAGCCAGCAGAACACAATATGATGGACAGAACCAGAATGGAACTGTTCAGATTAAAGAGTCAGATTTTTTAAGGGCACAAAGAAAGATGCCTTCATAGGAGGGTAAAATGATTTTAAGGGCCTTAAAGGTCATTTAGTCCAGTCCCCTTTGATACAGAACTTGAGGTCAGAAAGGTTGGGTAGTTCACCAGGTAGGGAAGTAGAAGGGCTGGGATTTTAACCCAGTTCTCCTTACTCCAAAAATCAAAGCTTTTCTCTTTACTCCAAATGCCCTTCCAGGGCACTGACAATACAGCACATGACGCCCATCGCTTCAAAGAAATGGAAGGCCATGACAATGCAAAGGCATCATTAAAAATGGGAACATGTCTATTATTTAAAGACCATCCAGGAAGGATGTTCCACTATGAGAAATGCTTCCTCGAGCCTAATCTAATTTCCTCAGGCCTTTATTTAAATTCTCTTATATATGATGCTCGTTTCCAAGGGGTCAGGGGTGGGGGGAGCTGGAGTCATCGTTCTTAATTCTTGTCCTTCTATGGAATGAACAAGATGACCCTTGGGACCTAAAACTTGGAGAATGACTAAGGGGCACACACATGACTGACTGGAACAGATAATCTGGGGAAAGATGGAATTTTTTTCTTAAAGCCACATTGAGGGGGCACAGTGGATAGAGCACCAGCCCTGGAGGCAGGAGGACCTGGGGTCATATCCATCCTCAGACACTTGACACTAGCTGTGTGACCCTGGGCAAGTCACTTTACCCCACTGCCTAGCCAAACAAACCAAAATAAAGCCATATTGAAGGTGATTCATTACCAGAAATGTCCATTCTGATTAACAACAAAAGCAGTCACAAAATTCACATTCACGTAGTCCACCAGCCTAGTTCAGCCCCTCATCACCTTCCACCCGGTCCACTGCATTAGCCTCCGAACTAGTGTCTCTGCCGCCTGCTTCTTGCATCTCTGATCCGCCTTCCCCTCAGCTGCCAAGGCGATTAGTGATTATTTCCAAAGTGTAGGTCTGATCTGGTCACCTCTCTGCTCAGCACACGGCGCCACGTTACTGCCTAGGACCAGAGACAAACTTCTTCAACTGACACTCAAAGTCCTTTACAACCTAATCCCTACCTACCTTTCCATTCTCATGACGCAGCATTCCCCTTTCTCATCTACTCTACAATGCCGTCAAACTGGCCTTACTGTTTCTGGCGCACAACATTCCATCTTCTCTTTGCCCTGGCTGCCCCCAGGTCTAGAACACATTACCTTCCTCACCTTCACTTCTTAAAACCTTTAATCTCCTTCAAAGCTCAGCTCTAGATCTTACTTCTACCCAAGGCTTTCTCTGATCCCCCTCCATGAACTCTACAATCCAACCAGACTGCCCTACTTGGGGTCCTCAGATGCCATACTCCATTTCCTGTCTGTCTTCCATGCCTGGAATGCTTTCTCCTCCTCTCCACCTCCCGCGTTCCTTTTGAGACACAGCTCAAATCCAACCTTCACCAGGCGGCCTTTTCTGATGCAAGACTCCCTCTCTTCCCTCTGAGATCATCTTCCACATGGTTCACACACATAGTGTGTGTGTGTGTGTGTGTGTGTGTGTGTGTGTATCTTGTATGTACCCAGTTATTTACAACTTGTCTCATTAGAATATAAACTCCCTGAGGGCAGGCATTATTTCACTTTTCTCTTTGTATTTTTTGCACAGAGGCAAACAGAAGGAGCTTAAAAATGCCTTTTCATTGTTGCTTTAAATCTTATAAAGCACTTTCCTTATAACAAACATGTGATGTGGGCAGTGCAAGGATCATTATTGCCATTTTAGAGATACATAAACCAGGGTTTGGAAAGTTAAAGGGACTTGCCTAGGGTTACCCAAATAGTAAATATTAGAACCAGGACTTGAACTCAAGTCTTCTTTTTGAAAGGCACCACAAGGTGAAAGCACAGTTTTTTACCACATGGACCCTAAGGACACTGTTATAGACAGAAGTTCCAGGATATTGTCATAGAATCGTTTTCATTATTCTAATTACTTTACAACAACCAATAAAAGTCCCTCCAAACAGACAAAACAATAGAAGTCCCTCCAAACAGACAAATTGATATATAAAACAAGGGACACAGGGTCTACCCCAAACCTCCAGCTGTAATAAGGAAGAATCCAATGAATTAACAAACAAAGACGATGCTTTTGCTCTGTCTCCTCTGAGGCCTCCCCAAAGGTCCACCCATAATTGTCGGAGAGAGACACAACAGTTACCAATCATGTCCAAGCCTAGATTCACTGATAATTGTCCAAAAATATCTCAGCTAATACAACACTTCACAGAAAGTCCCTGGCAGAAAACCAACCCCCTTCTGTTCAGAAGGGTCGATGAATGAAGCTGCTTGCTTAATCAAATATTGTGATTCCTTGAGAGTTACCACAAATGGGCCATCAGTTTTTAAAGCCTTGTAATACGATAAAACATGCAATCCTGAAAGTCGTTTGACTATAATTTAATCTGCTGTAAAAAGAGCAGGGGTGGAGGGCTGGTCAGAATATCTGGCTTGTGTTTCTGTTCTTCTATTTACTAGCTGCATAAGTGTAAGGGGATCAATTCACCTTGCCTTAGTTGAGTAAAATGAAGGGCTGAAGTAGATGCTAGCTAAACAACCTTGCTAGCTCTCAATCCTACGATCCTACAGTATGTGTGTCACTTCAAGGTCTGTCCTGACTCATCCTTTTGGTCCACAATGTACAATGTTGCAGAAACATATCCGATTACGTGGGTACCAGAGAAACAGGAGTCTATTATTGCATCAGACTGGAGATGACTGATGAGGAACCAAGGACCCTGACCCTGACTTACCCCACGTTTAGCCCCCATTGAGCAGCTACTTGGTGGGCATTAGCAAAGGCTAACTGTGTGGAGACAACACACTGTAATTCTTGTGTGTTTGCTGAATCACTAAGGCACCAATTAGAGAAGAAGAGAGACAGACAGCCTGGAAGCCATAATTTCTAGCACAGGATATGAAAACTGTCAAATATCTTCCTGCCTTTCCTCCTCTCTCCCCCCACCCCCAGCCCTTCTGTCTCTAGGGCAAGCAGGCAGGCAGGCAAGCAGGTCTGTCTCCCAGAAGACTCACCCTGACTCATCCATGACCCAAATGGTGTATAACCTATGTCACATGCACACCAAGAACGGGGCTTCACCTTTGCTGAGAATGGTTTGCCTGAAGCAGAGGGGGAAGACTGTGGGCATCTACTGTTATTTATTGATCTAGATAATGGAATCGATTGGGATCTGTGTTTGCTCTTGAGAGGTCAAGAAATTAGGTCAGTTCAGATGAGATACCAAGAGATGGCAAACCCAACTTGACTGAACACAGCTGTGGAGATGCACTTGGCGGTTTTCCCCAACGATGCTATTTATTTAGTGGGAAATAAAAGTGAGGGGGACAAGAGGGAGAGGATTGAAAACACAGGTGCTAAGATAGGGTGAATCTGGAAAACAAGTATATGAACTTTTCAATGGATATTCCAGGAGATGAGATTGAAGGAGAGAGTATCTCTTAAATCCATAAGGGCTGGGATCTGGGTGGAAGAACAACTCACTAGCCATGAAATAGCAGAAAAAGGACAGGATCTAGGGTTTGAAAACCTGTGTTTTAATTCTGGCTCTTCTATACCACCCAATCAATCAACAAACATTTATTAAGTGCCCGCTCTATGCCAGGCACTGCACTAGGACAAATGAACCACCTTGCCCTCAGGGAACTCACATTCTACTGAGAGGGAGAGAGAGAAAAGGACAAACTATCTATCTCGATCCACCCACATATACATATACATATACATACATACACATACACACATACAAATACATATTATATGTGTGTGTGTGTGTGTGTATACAATGTATATGGAAAGCTAGATAGCTCAGTGGATAGGGTACAGAGTCTGGAATCAGGAAGACCCAAGTTCAAATCTGGCTCCAGACACTTACTAGCTGTGTGACCTTGGGCAAGTCACAACCTCTGCTTGCCTCACTTTCTTCATCTGAAAAATGGGGATAACGGCACCTACTTCCTGGGATTGTTGTGAGGACCTAATGAGATATTTGTGAAGTGCTCAGCACTACACCTGGCACATAGCAGGTGCTATAAAAACAATAGTTACTGTTAACAAAGGATAAAACTGAGGCTAGGAAAGCTTAGAGAGAAGCTCGCTCAGGACCACACAGCTTGTTAAGTGTCTGAGGCTGGATTTGAACCCTGGTCTTTGTGATGTCAAGTCCAGCACTCTGTTCTCTGCTCCAAGCTCTAAAATGAGAAGGTTGGGCTAGGGAATCTCAAAGGTCCCTTCTAGATAAAAGTTCAGCAAGAGGTCAACGGACCAGCAGCCACAGCGGTTAATGATAATAACAGCTGCCCTTTACGTAACACTTTACATAAGGATTTCATTTGAACCTCACGAACCCTCTGTGAGTTAAATCCTAGCAACAGGCATTATTGCAATTTTACAGAAAATGAAACTGGGCACAGAAAGGGGAAGTGACTCTGTTAAAGTATCCAGATGATGATGAGTGACAGGATAGGATTTGAACCTTCCTATTGACTCCAAGTCCAGAGCACTACCTACTCATTGTACCGCCTTTCTAACAAAGCAACTAACTCCTCTGGCAAACCCACCACCCCAAGGTCCCAGCAATATGCCCTGGCCTTTCCTCTAAAGAGGAAGAAAAGATCCCTAGGTCTACTTTTCTCGGTATCCATTCCAGATCTCCCAGAACAGGGATTAATGTGACATATAAATTGGGCTGGGACTGCAGGCAATTTGAGTCAGGAAGACATGGCTTCAAAGCCAGACTCGGATTCATACTGGCTGTGTGATTCTAGGCAAGTCAATTAACTTCTATTTGTCTCAGTTTCCTCATCTGTAAAATGTGGATAATAATTGCACTTATCTTGCAGGGTTATTGTGAGGACCAAATGGATATATTGGTAAAAATGCTTAGCACAGAATAGGAGTTATAGAAATGCTTTATTTCCTTTCCACACCCCGTCCTTCAAATTATAGCCCATAAGCGGCTGCCTATCTATTCTGAGGGCCAGCCCTAATGGCTCTAAGAAGATGGGGCTCTTTTGGCCTGTGATCAAACTTTAAACCATTCCCAAAAGACATCCCTTCCATCTTCAGGAAGGCAGCCCTGGTTAGAACCCCAAGCCTAGACTAACCTCCACCCTACGATCTGGAATCCAGATTAGTTACATCAAAGAGTAACAAGAGCAGAGGCTGAGCCAAGATGGTGGAGTAAAGGCAGGGATTCCCCCCAGCTCTTCCCTAAACCCCTCCAAATACTTTTAAATAATGGCTCTAAACAAATTCTAGAGTGGCAGAACCCACAAAAAGACAGAGTGGAACAATTTTTCAGTCTAAGACAACTAGAAAGTTGGCAGGAAAGGTCTGTTGCACCAGGGTAAGGGTAGGGGGGGAAGCTGATAGAAGGGAAAGCAGTTTGGAGGAAACAAAAGTCAGAAAGCAAAACACTTTTGAGAACAGACAGGGTAAAAGGAAAGAGAGAGAAGGATAAATGGGGGAAAATATGAGGGAAATACACAATAACTGCAAAAAAAAAATTTACAGTGAGTTTCTCTGATAAAGAGTTCATTTCTCAAACATAGAAAGCTGAATCAAATTTATAGAAATAAGAGCCATTCCTCAACTGATAAATGGTCAAAGGATACGAACAGGCAGTTTTCAGACAAAGTAATCAAAACAACTGATAGTCATGTGGGAAAAATGCTCTAACTCACTATTGATGAGAGAAATGCAAATGAAAACAACTCTGAGCTACTACCTCATATCTGTCTGATTGGCTAATGTGACAGAAACGGAAAATGGCAAATGTTGGAGGGGATGCAGAAAAATTAAAACACTAATGAACTATTGTTAGGTGTATACTGATTCAGCCATTCTAGAGAGCAATTTGGAACTATGCCCAAAGGGCTATACAACCATACATACCCTTTGACCAAACAATACCACTACTAGGTCTGTATCCTAAAGAGATAAAAAACAAAAAGGAAAAGGGCCTATGTGTACAAAAATATTTATAGCAGCTCTTTTTGTGGTGGCAAAGAATTGGAAATTGAGGGGACATCTATCAATCGGTGAATGGCTGAACAAGCTGTGGTACAAAATTGTGATGGAATACTATTGTGCTGTAAGAAACGATGAGCAGGATGCTCTTAGGAAAACATGGAAAGACATGAACTGATGCAAAGTGAAATGAGCAGAACCAGGAGAACACTGTACACAGTAACAGCAATATTACATGATGATCTACTATTGAATAATTTAGCTATTCTCAGCAATACAACAATCCAAGATAATTCTGTGGGACTTAAGAGGAAAGATGCCATCCATCTCCAGAGAAAGAACTGGCAGAGCCTGAATGCAGGTCAAAGGTACTTTTTCCTTACTTTATTTTTCTTGGCTTTTTTTTGTCTGTATTTTCTTTCACAGAATGACTTATGTATTTTTCATGATTATACATGCTTAACCTATGTCAACTTCTTTGCCTCCTTGATGAGGGGAGAGGTGGAGAGAACTTGGAACTCAAAATTTGAAAAAAAAGAATGTTAAAATTGTTTTTACATATAATTGGGAAAAAATAAAATATTAAGTAAGATTCTTTAAAAAAGAATAACAATACGCCCCTGGGGAAGTCATGGAAAACTGGCAGAACACTGTTTCCAGAGAAACCATCCCAGCTTCTTCTAAAATAACAACAAAATCTCGACAAAGCCCCAGGTAGTTCTGTTTGGCCACAGCAGGAGCAGCAGCAGAGCCCAGGACGACTCAGCTGGTGCCCTGAACGTTCCATTCCCAGGGGCAGAAGGAATCCTGGATAGCCGAGGACAGAGGTGTCCCAGCTGTCCGGACATCACAGGCTGCTTCCCAGGGGCCTCTGTCCACCCGCTCCACGGGGGCCCCTCTTACTCGCCTTCACACAGGTGAACCTTCTCTTCCACAAACAGGAGTCCTTTAGCAAGCAGCTGGTTCTGCCGAGAGACAAGAAAGAACATAGACGTTGGCTTCTTCAGAGAGGATCTACGAGCCCAGCAAAGACCTCACCATGTAACTAAGCAGAGATCTGGCTCTGAGTGTTCCCCAGGCACCCACATCTGGATTCCTCCTGGGGGGAGAAACACTACAGGATACACAGAGGTGAGAAAACGTACTTTCCTCTCTTCTCGGCAGAGGTGAGGGACTATGGGTATGGAATGCTGCATACACTGTCAGACACTTCTGATGAATGGTCCTGCTGAATTATTCTTTTATTAGCTGTTCCAAGACAACTTGTGGTGGAAGGCAGATATATTCCAGAAATGAAGGCAGTATAAAAATTAATGACAGCAGTAAAAATTGAGTACGCTGCTCTCCAGGGTCCACTGCTCTGAAAGGTCAGCTTTTTTCTTCTATGGGCAGGGGCAAGACCTCCCCCCATACCACATTCGCAGCCACATTTGTCCCTTCCCCCCTTAGAGTCCCTCTTTATGTGTGGTCCTACCCCACTGGAACTAACCTCCTTGAGGGCAGGAGCTGTCTTGTTTGTTGTATTACAGCTCTTGGCATGTAGTAAGCATTCAAAGAGTATCCCTATCAATCTACCCATCTATCTGCCCATTCATAATCTACCTATCATTAGCTGCCTTCTGTCTAAACTCGAGATCCCACACGGAATAAAGGGAAACAATCCTGTACCCAAAGGGAGACTTTTTAGCACAAGGGTTCCCAAAATGGAGCGTATATGTATGTATATATTATATACAGGTGTATGCATGTATGTGTGTTTATATGTATATATAGATATGTATGTATGTACTTATGGTCCTCAATTTTCAGATGAAACTAGGGATTTACATGTGTGTGTATGCATGTATGCATACACATATATATATACATATACATATACATATACATATACATATACATATACATATACACACATACATACAAACATATATATATTTGTATTGACCTCAATTTTCAGATGATGAAACTGGGGCCTAGGGAAGCCAGATAACTTGCTCAAAGTGACACAGCTACCGTCAGTCAGGATTTGAACCCCAGGCTCCTGCCAACAAGCCCAGTTCTCCTTCTGCCTCCAGGATACCTTGGGATAACTCCTAAAGCTCTTCTGTACTCGCTTTGGAGAAAGGGGAAACCGATGACCAGGTAGAATATACCAATTATTGCAGGTGACCAGGTGGGAGCCACATATATGAAACAAACCCGTGGCTCTCACTCACTGGGTCATTCTGGTTAAAGGGCAGGGGGAGGTGTACAGGGGCTGCTTAGAGAGGAAGAGTAAAGTTAAGGGTCTGAGCAAGGACAACGTGGGAGCCAATGTTCTAGGAAGGGGACTTCAAAAGGTCAATCATGGCAGTGTATCAGTGAAAGGGACCCTAGATTTAGAATCTGAGGACTCAGATTTGAATGCTGGCTCAGCTACTTGCTACCTGAGAGAGCTTGGATAAATCACTTATGACCTGGGCTTTCAGCTGTAAAATAAAGGGGGCTGGATTTAATGATCTCTAAGGTCCCCTCTAGCTCCAAACCCGGTCTTTGTATTCTCAGTATCCCATACATTACTCTGCACACAGTAGGCACTTAATAAATGTTTGCTGGATTGGATGTGGGTTGCAAAAAGGAAGGTAGAACTCTCTTTTTTTACATGGGAACTAGCACCTCTCACATAACAGAGCAAAATGCTCCTTTTCCCATGTTTGTTGGAACTAGTTCTTTGCAATGACCCCTGTTCTCATTTCCCTCTTTCCTGGTTCTCCTGGCCCCAAGCACTGTGTTTGGGAAACTGAACACTGTGTAGTTATAATAACTAAGCTTGGCCCCAGAAAAGACGTGAGAAACTGCTGAACTCTCACTGCCTAGGTGACCTTGGACAATTCATTTTATCTCTTGGTCTAAAGGACCTCAAGATCCCCCCTAGCTTACAGCGAAAATCTTGATCCAGTCTCCCTCCTTTTATTGCAGAGGCAGGGGACCACGGGTGTGGAATACTGCAGAAACTGCTGGACCACCAATGTGTTTCCCCCTTTTTAAAATCTTTGTTACAAGATGTTGTTTGAAAGAGAAGAGGGAAGGGAAATGTCTTCTCTGAACTCAGGCACCCTTCCCAAGCCAGTAGGCAGAAACTCATGGCTCTCCCCTATCACACCAACATATCAATTTTCATAAACAAAAAACCGACCAAAGAGCTGCCGGTCTGTGAGTACAATCATGGCAGCTGGCTGCTTGGCGACACCCAGGACAAATGCCCAGATCCTCTACTGAGTTTCACGGGAGGAAAGTATGAAGACCATCCCCCCAGACTCATCTCCCCCAGCAGGCCCCTCTCTTTTATTTAAAACCCAGATGTGCCTCCTATTTTGAGAGGGAGCAAATGCCAAGACATGAGCCAACTTAGTGCTAAAAGGGCTGACACAGTGGATACAGTAGTGGACTGGAAAGTGTGCAAGACAATCTGGGTGAGCCAGGGGACCCTGGACAAGTCACTGGAATTTTCTGAGGCTCAGTTTCCTCATCTGCAAAATGGAGATAATGATACCCAGAGTATCCACCTCCAAGGGTGATGTGAGGTTCTGATGAGATAACACATTAAATCCTTTGCAAGATAACATAAAAAACCACATTTTTATAGCACTTAAAAGTTTACACTAAATAGATGTGCATGGTGGAGGGGGAGAATTCGAAGATGACAGTGCTGTTCATGCCTTTAAGATGCCTGCATCTAAGAGAGAAGACAAGAGACAGACATGACGTAAAATTGAATATGTTAAGTGTGCTCAGAAAGGGATAAAATGTTGTAGTTCTTCATCCGTTGTTTTCCAAGAGGACCAATGACATCACGGTTGACATCTTGACTTGTGGGTGAACTGGATTTCCGTGAGGCAGGGTTGCACAAAGTAGTCAGCCTCGCTCTGTCTTCCACCGTCATCGAAGTCCAGTGGCAGGACAAAAGGCAAGATGACTGCTGATGGATGACCTTGGAGTCTCTGACCAAGCTCTAAGCACTCCGCAGCACCTGCTTCAGCCTCCTTCATGGCCTTTGGAACAAACTGTTCTCATCCTGCTGTTCCACTGGGGGACATCTTCACATGCTTGGAGGTAGACGCCCCCTAACTCAGCCACAGCTGTGAGGCCTTTTAATGCTATTAGAAATGTTAGTAATAAAAATGAAGGGGAAAAGGAGTAACTGTCAGTGCAATGACCCAGGAGAAGCCCGCAGGGTCAGAGTTAGAGTAGAGACCTCAGAGGTCATCTACCCTAACTCCCTCCTTTTAGAGACGCAGAAATGGAGGCCTGATGATAAAGTGTTGCTCAAGGTCCTACAGGAAGTGGCAGGGCTGGGATTTGAACCCGGGTTCTCTACCTCCCGAAATCACCGAATGCTAGAGCTGGAAGGGCCCTTGACAAATCATTGAGCCTGTCCCTCTTCATTTTATTCAATGAGAAACCAGCCCAGAGAGAAGGGTGACTTACCTAAATGAATACAACTGGCATACAGGATGGTCAGGCCTGAAAGACAGATGGTACTGCACACTCACCCACACCAGGCCAGCTGCTGCTAAAGGGTTAATGAACACTGAGGCTGGGGGAGGGGATCAGAATCATACTGGGATGAGCAGCTAACAGAAAGAAGACTGTGTGGATCCCAGCCCTATAGGATCTGGAGATGGAAGGAACCTCAGACACCCTTTAATCCAGGTCCCCCCCCCACTTTACAGATGAGGAAACTGAGTCCTTGAGAGGGTAAATGACTCACTGACAATCAAAGATCTAGGATCATGGATTTGGGGTTGGAAGGGACCTTTTCAGTTGTTTTTCATTCATATCCGACTCACCATGACCCCACCTGGGGTTTTCTTGGCAATGATACTGGAGTGGTTTTGCCATTTCCTTTTCCAAGTCATTTTACAAATGAGGAAACTGAGGCAAACAGGCTGAAGTGACTTGCCCAGGGTGACACAGCTAATAAGTGTCTCAGGACAGATTCGAACTCACAAAAATGAGTCTTCATGACTCCAGGCCTGGCACTCTATCCACTTCGGGTCACTTTGCAGAGAGAAACCCAGTGCCCAGGGAGGCAGGCAGGTGACTTATAATAAGAGTCAAAGGCAGAATTTGAGTCAAGCTCCTCTAACCCACTGCACTATGTATGCTGCCTCCCGATAAACTGACCCTCTATCAAAATGTCAAGACACCTTCACGGGCCTTTTTCACAAACTGTGAACCCTGGGATTTCCTGAACTCAGTTTCTGGGACAGCACCTACTTATTAAATTTCAAAGTTCTTCCAAATGAAAGTGGATACTTCCATTATGAGTAGTCTGAGTTTGACACGGGGGTGTTACTCTCCCCAGTTTGCAAGTGAAAATACTGAGGCACAGGGGATATTAAAACACTTGTAGTTTGCATGGTGAGTCAGGCCTAGCGCCCAGACCTCCAGATTCCCAGGCTAGAGGGTGCTTTCCACTTGCAAACACGTTGTCTTTCTGTGGTGCTGAGAGTCGATCTACATTTTGAAAAAAATAAGTCAAGGTTTAAGGGCCACAGACATCTTCTTAGAGGGGGTGGAATCAGTAAACAGAGAGGCTTCTGGAGTTTTCTGGTGCTATCTAAAAATGGCATTTTTCTGAACTATAGAAGAAAAGCCTTAATGAGGTTTCTGACAATTTGACGGATCTGTGTTCTCATCAATGGGAAGTCACTCCACCTGCACATATCACCACTTCTCCATCCCTTTTTATCCAGTTCAGTTCTAGTCTTTCAATCGTCTATTGAGGAGGATAGCATCATATATTTAGAGCTCAAAGGAACCCGAGAGGCCCTCAAGTCTAACACACTCCAAAAGAACCAACAAACAGATCCAACGAATGGCCCTCAGCCTTTGCTTAAAGACGTCCAAGGAGAGAGAAACTTTGGTCTTCCCAAGGCAGCCCAATTCATTTCTGGATGGATCTGACCACTGGGAAGCTTTT